AGCAGCATCAGAAAGAAAGAAAGAGCACATTGTGAGCTTAAATGCTGATTTTACCAGCACCAGATAACAAACACTGTCAACGCACAATTAATAGTGCAAAGTTATTTTTAGGATGGTTAATCTGAATTTTTAGCTGTACGATGAGGGATGCCTGTAACCTAAGTAGGCATGAGGCACTTTGGTGATGTGGCTGGAATTGAATGAAATTCTTCTGAAATTCTAAGAGGGAATCTGCCACTGTTAATTGTTTTTTTAGAGGGATTCACCATCTGGTTTTGGATGGGCATACAAATCCTTGTGCTGCATTTTCTTTGAGGTTCTCTGCTGGCCAACTGGCAACTCAAACCAAAGATTTCCAAGAATCTCTAGTACTCCTGGGCCTTTCTTTGTGTAAGCAGGTACACCAAACAGGGAGGATAGCTTGGTATGATGTCCTAATCCAGAATTATGGTTAAATGTGTGTGAACAAGCCCAAATAGCAATCTGGCTTTACACCAAGGTTTGTTGTAGGGTTAAATATCTTAGCTTGTTTGGGCATATTTAACCATGGTTTGCCCCGTGTCCAAATAAGAATGCGCTTCACTTCAGACAATCAAAAGTTTCATGTCTTCCCATTGATTATTATGGGCTAATTAACAAATGTCCATCATGTTTTTGTCTTTTGATAAAATTGGATGAATTTTGGAGACATAGTAATCCCTTCTGTGTCAATGAAGCCTGCAAAATTTGGGGCAAATAGATTCAGGGATTTCTGTACAAGAGGGTTTTTTAAAATACTTTTTTTGTGGGGGAAATGTTCTCGATTATGCTTTTTTGTAGGGAAGGATTTTTTTTATGAAAATGGCATGCATAATAAAGGTGCAAAATTTCAGGACAAAACGTGCATGGGTTAGGAAGTTTTGAAATGAAGTTTTGAAATGAAAATATTTTCATTTACCTTTCTGCTCAGTTGACATCCAAGTCACAGAAACAAAAGTTCTTCATGACAGTTTACTTGCTGCACATGAAAGGTAACTCGGTAGACAAGATAGACATGCATGCAATCCTGTCTCCCGAAATCTCAAATATCCAACTGAATCGTTTCAAAAGTCTCTGGGATCAGGAATCATGATAGGCCTGTACAACTTCAAACGGGGGAAAGCTCTCCTGGTTTCAGCAGAGTTCCACATGAACACATGAAATTGCTCTGAATGTACTTTTCATCGTATAACATGGCTCAGAGTGTTGGACTACAACGCTGGAGATCTGGGTTCTAGCCCCATCTTGGCCATGTAGGTGCTTTTGGGCTAGTTACTGTCTCTCAGCTTCACCTACTTCATAGGGTAGTTGCTCTATGGATGACATGCAAAGGAGGAGAACCTTGCACACTGCCTTCAGGTTCTTGCCAAGGACGAAAGGTGGAATATAAACGTAGTAATAAAAATAATAGATTGCCATGAGCCAGTATGTTTCCCTTTTGCAGACAGATATTTGCAGTGTTCAGCATGCAATGCATTTTTTTGAAACATTTGTCAATTCTTCTATCACCACAACCAAAACGAGGGCATCAAGAAATATAATAGAAAGATTGGCAATAGGGTGACCGTTTATGAATTGCCAAAAAAACAGGACAAAGGTGGCCACTGTTACACAACATCTTCAAACATGATTTGATATTAATAGAAGTACATTTACAAATAATGATTGAAGTTTCAATAGAAATATCCTATAGCTTCCCCTGTGAGGAAGACTGGGACCTATGTGCCTGCTCAGTTTGCTGTGCAGATACTCACTGCTTGCTGGCATCTGTTCTTATGGTCCTTTTTATTTAAATCAACATCAAACAGGACCACATTCTCAATAAAGAAAACCTTCAAGTAGTTCTGTAGCAGCCTTTCAAACAGGGCACAGGTAAGCAGAAAGTGGACCACCAGATAATTTGAACTTCAGCTCACAACACTGCTGTCTATTGGCAATGCTGGAGTTGACATCCAAAACAGCTGGAGATCTTCCTTCCCCTCATCCCAGGACATGTGGCCAACCTGTTTGCTAAATGAACACTAAACAAACTTCACACAGCTTACCACCCACTGCAGTGAGTGCTGCCAACCAGCTGTGTATTGTGGTTTGCCAGGTTTTTGACAAATGGTACATGACAGATTCTGTGGATTTCCTTTGGCATAGGCCTCAGGTAATGCTTCAGAATGGTTCTTCCTCTTGCCACCAGCTGCTGTCAAACACCTATACAAGGAGCAATCAAGAAGGAGATGCATCTAAACATCTACTGTTCTAGCAAGTGCAGATAAACCTGAAAATCTGAGAACATGCATCTGCCCTCAAAGCCTATGCATACCATGTTCAGAGGAAAGCACTGTAGTAGCTCAACAGAATTCTATTTCATGTCAATGCATAGTTCATATTTCAAAATACTAATTAATGGTTAGTGTCCCTTTCTTTGTTTCTTCTTTCTTTTACTGACATGGCAGCTATTAATCTTTTTTTAATTAAGGAATAATAGTTCCATTATTTCTGAATAGTGTTTCTCAAAGCTTTTATTTTTGCAAAGGACAAATTAACAGCCTATTCAAGTGCAGCCTATCACCAACACAGAGGAAACTTGGGTGGCAGCTTGAGAGAAGCGAGAGATTCATATTCTGAGTTTAGCGCAGTGATGTATTTGTGTTCTATTATTTCCTACTCTTGGCTCAGCCTCTATCAGGAGAATTTCAAATCTTCCCATCTTCCGTTCTTATTACAGTCTGTATCAGGAGAATGAGTTATCCGAGACTTTAATTTGCCTATTACAGGTTCCTCTTTCATTATACATTCTTACTGATAGCACCAAAACCAACAGCAAAAATTGGCGCTTCATTGTCATGATAATGACTCAAGATGAAAATAGCCAAACATAAATCAAGTCTCTAGAAGACACTTTGAAGAAAACGAACAGAAAATGCAGCACTTGTGACTCTTTATGGTGGAGATAGTAAAGCAAGGCAACATCAAAGAGCTCTTTGGAGGCCAACTTCGATACCAGCTCTGCTGGAGCAATGAGTAAGTTGTTGCTCTTTCTGTAATGCCTTTCATAGTCTCTGCCTGCAAGTGCTGCAGGATCTGTGACAGGCTCCCGAACCTACATTGGACTGTAACTCCCATCACCCCACGCTCAGCATGGTATAGTCCAACACATCTTGAGAATGCAAGGTGGGGGAAAGTTGTTGTAGGGTAGCCAAAGACTCAGGAGGATGGAACTCTAATCGTGGTGTGTACCTGCCTAAAATATTGAGCTGCTTTAGCCTGCCAAGGGTGTCTCTGTGTCCTCTTTTCCTGAGAAAGGCCTCTCCTCAAAGGCCTGTCCTGTCTGATTCCAATTTAGAATAGTTACCCACCAACAGTGAGCACCTGGAGTGCAGGCACCTGGTCACAAACACCAGGGTGAGACACACTGTGCCTGCATGTAAGCTACAATGATTATTTCTAAATTTGCCATCTATATCATACATCTGCATTAGTGCACACACATTTTACACTATGAATCTTCTCTTTGGGCAATTCCCAAGCGGCCACCTGAGGTCCAAGCTAGGCCAGGATTGGCTATTGCAGCCTTGGCCCAGCTGGTGACTTCCAGGTGTGTCCGATTGCAGTTCCCATGATTTCTGGGTGGCTGGTAATTAAGGGAGCTGCAGAACAACACACCTAGAAGATACCAGGTTGGGCAAGGCTGAGCTACTTTGACAGGAATTGATTCACCAAGGTGTGAGGCCAAGGTTGTTCCCAGGCAACCCTCTCCGAACATTTCAATGGGAGTTTCTGGAGACCAAACTGGGAACTGCCTCTATGAGAAGCATGTTCATGGCCACTGAGATGCAGGCTCCTCTCCAAAGGATGGAAGGTGTGACTTGTCATATATGACCCAACAAAATTCCCTTCTCTATGTGGCTCTTGAAGGAGAAGAGGCGAGTTTTCATTTCATTCTTGCCATCTAAATGGACTGATGGGCAGGTTAATTTCCAATCCAGTGTATATGGAGGTTGATGGGTTGTGTTGTGTTGTGCAAGAAGCTATGGACAAGGGTCAGTTGATAATGAACAACCCGGAAGATACCAGTGTGAGGAGCGAGGGGAATAAAAACAAACTCTGCTGACTCCTGCAGAAATCAAGTGCATGTTTTCTGTTATATGATAAACCTGAGTGATTGGGTTGTCGTCTTTAAAATAAACAAATAAAACTGGGGCGCTTGCTCATACTGCAGAGCAACAAGCAAGGAAAGCAACCACAATTAAGTGCCAGGCAAAGCAGTGAAATGTGACCCAAGTCTAATAGTCTCACTGACTTCAATGGAACTCCTATAGTCACAATGACATTGTGTAGAATTGTGTCCCAGATGTGTAAGTGATTAAGGGAAATAGCTTCCATATCAGCCTAATTATTCTTTGAAGTCATCTTGAGAGACCTTTTCTAATAATAATATCCAGCTTGTCCTTGGTTCTACACTTGCTCTGTTTTGCACCAGGAGAAAACAGGTTTATTTGCTCAGGCCTCTTTCTACTGCATGTTGCAAGGTTTTATCTGTTAGCTGTTGCTTAGCATTGCTTTGTTTTCTGTGTCTTAAATCTGCATGTGTTTTAATTTGTAATCTACTTGTAAATGAATGTATTGAATGGCAGGATAAAACATATTAAATAAAGTTTATTGCGTTTTTAATTCACGCAGTTTCAAATTGCAGTGCCAAGTCTTAACCGCCTAGAGAACCATGGCCACAGGGCAGTATAAAAATAAAGCCAGGCAGGCAGAGTGTGGATTCCTATTTTCACTTGCCTGGGAGCAGGTCTCACTGAAAGCGATATGCCTTTGCTTCTGAGGAAACTGAGGACTCTGTGGTCAATAGCATAATATTCCGCTTTGAAAGCAGTCGAAGAACAGGGTAAAAATGTTCCCCATAAACCAAAAAATGCCATAGTTGTTGTCTAAGGTGTGTCAAGAATACAGTTCTGACTGGTACACATTTCTCTTTTTTCCAGCCTTTGGAAGGCCAAGTGTGGGACCTGTTGCGTGAAGCAGACAAAACTGCAGCAGAAAACACAGATCAAGGACTGGTGTACGATGCCATGGCAGAAACCCTGGGCGATGCTTGGGACTCACTCATTTGCTTTCTGGAGAAGCGCAGGGGGCTTCTAAAACTTACCTCAAGTTTTTTTGAAAAGGCTCTCGAGGTTTGTGTCAAATGTATTTTACTTCTCAAGAGAGATGTCATATCGGAAGAGATTCCATTTCTTGTTTATTACATTCCTCCATTAAATTTGGCAGAAAGAAATGGAAAATGATCTCTGGTGTGCTGTTTCAAGTTTTCCCAAAAGAGGATCAGAACAAATTTTAGAGTGACAATATTTAGAATAAGTATTCCAGGATTGTGAGGTCTTACCTAACAAGGAATTGTAATTAAAAATAATGCAATAGTTTGAATACTTTTTAGGCCTCTACATATTGATGAAAAAGTTAATTTTCTTAAAACTCTTTTTACTTTTGTTGGGATTTCTCAGATGCAATTTTCAAATGCATCTTGAAAATCAGTGGACACCTAAGGATGTGTGGTTCCTTTCCCTGAAAGAAAAAGCACTCTTCCCATTGAAAGAATGGGAAACTTGGTGATTAGCCTTCACAGCTGAGGAGTTACTTACATTTCCCTCTGAATTCCTCAAATGTCTCACCTAAGCAAGAACAATTAACTACCATTATTAACTGAGTGGAGCAGCTGCCTCAGAGCTGATTTTTGAGTATCAAAAAATGTTAGCCATTATATTAATAACAGTAATAACTTGCTGAGGGACAAAGGAGGTGTTTACAGGATTTTTCTGTCTCAGGAAGCAAAATAAGTTGGTTGGACCTGCATACTGTGCACCTTGACTTAACTGGGGAAGGTGTCATTTGCTGTTCCATCAAAAATGGCAACATATCTTGAACCAGACGTGTGCTAAATTTGCCTTGAATCTCCAAATACTAATTTTATGTTTTCCCCCTTCCTCCTTCCTTCCTTCCTTTCTTTTGTGCCATCTGTTTATATGGTGCTTAACAAAAGTGGTAGAATAGGGCTATATCCTAAGTGCTTTAGGGCACACTCCAATGCATATTTAGAAGCTGGATGGGAATGCTGGGAATTGTAGGACTTTTTTTTCCCCTTTCCTTTGTATAGTGGTACCTTGGCTCATGAACTTAATCCATTCCAGGATTCTGATTGTGACCCAAATTGGTCGTGAGCCAAGACAAATTTCCCCATAAGGTTCAATGTAAATAAGGTGAATCCATTCTGTAACTATTTTTTTTAATCACAAAAATTTGAAGTGGGTGCACTCAGGGGGGAGGCAGGTGCAATCGTGGGCACGCTTGGGCAGTGGGGGAGAGACGGGTGCAATCACAATCATCACCTGATGCCAAGTTTGCGACCTGAGGCAAAATTTTTCAGAAATTTCTGTTCGCGACCCGATTTGGTCATGAACTGAGGCATTCATGAGCCAAGGTTCCACTGTATTTTCCTGAACAGAAATAGGAGAGAAAATGGAGGCAGGACTATGTGATTATTATAGTTACATGTACTTAACCATAGTTATGGAAGGGTTCATTTGGGCATTCTACCAAAGGGTCACTAAAAAAGCTAAGTTTTGAGGTAGGAATTTAGAGGAACTATAAGGGGTGATATCACAGAAGCATTCTGGGGGCAAACTACATCTTAGCCTAATTCTGTGGTACATAGCAAAAGGTTGTATTTCTTCCCTATAAGTGCATACAGCAATGATGTTCCGGGAGGGCAGGGCTGAAACTTCATCCCACCCATTTTCTTCCAGAATTCAGATTTAAAAAAAGTGCAATCTTCACTGGACTGAATAAAGGTTTTTTAAAAAACCCTTCTCCTTCTGGCAGGGGGTATTTCAGGAAAAAAAATTGACACGGAAAGATTGAATCTTCCCTTCCTGGAGCACCATTATCCCTGTCCAAATTAAGGCATTTTTACATGAGAGCAAAAAGTAAAACAATCCTCAGCTGACATGTAGTTTAGCTGTAAGAAGCAATTTCAGGTACATGGATCAGTAGCATAAACATGTTGTGATTGTTGAAGGGAGAACAATCACCGGACAGCAGTGGGTGAAGTTCATAGGCAGGGGAGCATGTCAAGGAGAGCTAGGCTGTTGAGGGTTTTGAAAGTAAGGATAAGAAATAAATGCAGAAACTTGAAGCCAGTGTGAGGGCACCATGTTGTCTAGCAGAAAGGGAAGATAGGGTGGCCAGATGGAAAGGAAAGAAAGCTCCAGTGGAGGTTGGTTGATCCAGTACTGGTGGGGCAGCATATTCATTCTGGGCTCTAATTGGAACCTTTAAGGAGCTATCCATGGTGCTGAACCATGGCTTTGGTTCAAGACCACATAAAGTTCCTATAAGGTTCCCACTGAACCCCAGCATGGCTATGCTGACATTGGAGCTACCAGCTTCCACTGGAAGTTTCCTACAAGACAAGCTGCACCTCCTGAAAATCCTTCTTCTGTTAAAGATGCAGCAGCCTTGTCCTCTTTTCCCCTGACTATGCTAAGTCTAGACAGAAAAAATGGCTTACAGCTCCCAGCATGTCCCAGCCAGCATACTAGAAAGTGCTGGAGAGAATTCAGAGGACAAGGCAAGATAGTGGAAGGGCAGAAGGGGTCAAAATACTCAAAACAGGAGGAAGTCTTTACCCAGGTGATGAAGGAGGAGGAGAAGAAGGAGAACAGTATGTGAGTTAGTCCAGTTGCTCCATCTTCAAGAGTAAGTAGAGGTATTTTAGCATTAAGCTCACATAGTCTAGGAGCCAGAGAAAGATGGTCGACTTAAAGACCAAATCATACACATGAACACTAGCATAAAGATTGCGCTTTGTTCTAAGCTCTTAAAGTGAAGCAAGCTCATATGTGATTTTGTCAGTTTCTGTAGTAACCTCACTACCATTTCTGTTTACCATTCTGTGAGGAAAACCGTGTGAGTTGTCATTCCCCACAGATGACTTTCTGCCTTTGTGTTCTATTTAATCAGCCACCATGTTGCTGTTTACAGTTCTATTCACTTCTCCTTGATAAGTGTCATGGCTTGGTTAAAAAGATTCTGCTTCTACTTGCAGGGTTATTTCCAAATAATTGCACTGGGGACCTTTCTGCCTGCCCCCTTGGCATTTCTCCTCTGGGTCCTTGGAATATGGCGTTCCTGGAAGATGGGGTCCCAGAAGATTTTTAAGCTCGGAGAGTTTGTCCAGGAGTGTGGAATGCAGGGTTGCCAGGAGACTGAGGACTCCAGGCCCTGTTTCTCCTGGTTGGGGAACATGCTAATGACTGCAGCACAGTTTGTAGCCTGCTGGAAGCAGGAGCTGGTATCACACACAAATGCAATCACAGCAGAAGTAGGAAGAGCTGGAAAGGGATTGTGCTGGCAGATGGCCCTTTTCTACCCGCCCCCCATCTATTAGTTATGTGCAAGTGTGAAGGAGCAAATAAGCAGAGTGGCTTTTTGAGAGGGGGGGTTAAGACTAGGAAAAAAATGGGTAGTTCCTTCTGCCCATTCACAAAAACATCATGGGGAAGGAAAGCAGGATGGGGAGAGAAGATATGGGGAGGCTGTGATAGTCCTTACCGCTGTTTTCCCACCTCCCAAGGGGTGAAGCCAGTGGGATCATTGCCCCCTTTACCTCCACCCAAAAATAATCCCCAAAGGTGTGTGCAACCCCTCTCCTGTGCTGACTTTCCCAAGGGTGAGCTCTGTTGGAGTGAATACGATTTACTTCTGAATAGACCTGTATATAAGCATCAGAGTTTTGCCTGTCCCTGCTTACATGCTGTTAAGAAACACTCTTTCCTTTCCTTCGGAAGAGAAAAATATCCCAGGCAGGCAGAGACTTCTTTTTAAAACTATTGCAATAAAGGGAACAGAAAGGAATGGCTTCCTTCCCATTCTTCTGTTCACCTGAGCACATGTTCCCACCCTCCTTTTGAACCCTGCTCCTGGCTGCTTCTCCCTCCTCCTTTCCCCTAATTGGCTAATAGGGGACTGAGAGTTACAATCCGTCCGCGCTGCCCCAACACCGGCCCTTCTTCCCAATGCAGCCCTGCCCCTGGTGGGCTACGATAGGCTCATTTTGTTCTGCCCAGCTTGTCAATCTTGCTTGTTTGTAAGCAGGAAGCCACTTAGTTAATATCCAGCCGTTTTGTCTATGTGCCGGCACTCTGCGTGCCCCCCCCTTCCTTACTTGTTGAAAAGGGAGGGGTTTTTTTGCTCCTCCTTTCTTTCTCTTTCATTCCCCTTGTTCCAAATCACCTCCCCCCCCCCCCGCCTTTCCTATCAATGCGCTATATCTCACCAATCTTAAAATAATTTCACAGTTGCCCATTCATTTCCAGGCCCAATCCAAAGAGCTGGTGCTCACCTTTCAATTCTTAAAGGGGTGCCTCTTCTTAGATCAAATGCCTGCATGTTAATTCCCTTCCTCTGCTGTCCCCTGTGCTGGAGGCAAGATTCATTTTACAGGAAGGGAAGGGCTGCTGTTTCCGACAAAGGGTTCTTTTCCTTTGCTTTAAACCTCCTTCCCTGCTGGGGGACGATGGACTGATGGACTCGGTACTAAAGCAAAAAATAAAAAGGTGAGCCCCAGAGGTGTGTGACAGCATGCCTCAAAGGATCAGCAGGCTTCCTTCCATAAAATAGGTATGTTGTGCTTTGTGAGGGCAGATCTGTGGCCTCTCACTGACAGTCCCTTTCTCTGGGAAGTTGCTAGTCCTGTGTGACTAGGCAGGGCCTCACGGCAGCCATTTTGTCAGTTTCCCAGCTTCCCAAAAGTGTCCTCAGGCCCCAAAGGGTTGCCTAGAGGCAGCACAATGTGTAGTTTGGCTTTGTATTTTTAGACGTAGGTTCTCTTGTATGTTTTGGTGCTGCCTTCCTTTTTACAAACTGCCCTGAAATCATGGGTGGAATATGATATATAACCCTCCTGAATCAGGGACAGCAAAGCCCTGCTGTCTCCGCTGCCCTCATTTAGCCCCAGACACTTAAGTACAATCACAACAGCAGCAATCACATTCCTCCATGCAGAGAAAGGTGCAAAGCTTAGTGCCTCTCCCTGCCCATACCTGTAATCCCTGTGAGCAAAGTTCCTGCATCTCATCCCATTCATCAATGTGCAGCCAGCATAGAAGGGACTCGGCAGGGCCTTGTGGGGACTGCAAAACCAGCTCCTTCCTTGGTCAATGTGTGAGGTTAGCTCCATTCACCGTGATGTTCTTGCTACCAGGCAGGCCGTTGAAACCTCCCAGTGCCCCTTGTTTTGCTGCCAAGCTACAAAGCTGAAAATGTGCCCTCTCCTTTTCTGTTCCTTTCCCTGCATCTTGAAATCCAGGCTGGTGGAAAATGTAGCTTGCAGAAAAAGTGTGGGGCAGGCGAATCCTTAATCATCTCTTCTGCTCATAAATTGCTGCTCTCTCCCACTGCTTTGCAGTGAAGCAGGAGCAGCCAAGACTCCTGGCCTTCTTTGTTGCTGAAACAGTCATCGGCGCAGCACCAAGGTATCATTTTTCACCTCCAGTTGCATACTAGGCCATCAGTTCTTCTCGCTGGAGCTCAACTAGTCAGCATATAACTCATCTCAAAACAAACTGCGGGGAAGACAACACAAAACTCCTCTGAGGCTTCTCTTTCTTCTCTAGCCAGGCAAAGGTGTCCTTGTAGCAGCTCTGCCCCAGTGTTTGGGGACAAGAAGGACTTCCCATCCGTTCCCCGGCCTACATGCAAATTGGGAGCGCTTATATTCCCCAGGAGTCTGGGGAAAGTTTGCAGCACCAGCCACTGCAATTTGGGAGGGAGCTGCAGGGAATATCTGAGCAGGAGAACACAAACAAAGGAGTAGCAGACAGTTTGTTAAACTTCAGTTTGGTTTGGTTTTTTGACAGTCTAGCATATTTTTAGGTAGGAGGAGAGAGACCAAGGATCAGCCTTTATTATGTCCTGAATTATCTGAGCAAGGGACGAATGGGAAATGTCATATTGACTTAAAATGGAAATACTGGAAATTTCTTGCTGAACTGTTTTCCTTTAAATGACAGAATGTGATTATGTGTAATCTTTGTTTTATTATGATAAAGTGCAAGCCTCATCTCAAGGATATTCTTTAATGAAAATCAGAAGTGAAATCCCAAATGCTGAAGGATAATGGATTTGTTTTATATCATAAAGATCATAAAAACAGGTTGGCACATGTGAGGAAAAGCAGGCAGAGCAAAAGGGTTATTTTTCATCATCATCCTTAATTTCATCTGAAGTTTCAACATGCTGAAGTTCAGAAATTCTCTCTCTCTTTCCCTCTCCTCCTTCCTTCCTTCCTTCCTTCCTTCCTTCCTTCCTTCCTTCCTTCCTTCCTTCTCAGTCTGTCTTTCCCATGGGCAGTTCTACACTGAAGAACAAGGCTCCAGTGTGAGATTAGATAGAAGTTAATACCCGTTTTAATACTAATTTACTAGTGTTCACTAGTGCCTTCCATCCCCTTCCAGAATATTTGTTATGGTGGAAGCACTCTTTCATAGGACAGTCCCCAAAATAAAAACAAGCTGTATGAGCAAAAATTAGCCTACCAATTTTGCCTGTCTTGCTGCAATTCCCTTGCTCTGTCACTACTAGTTATTCTGGCTAGGAATGATGGCAACTGTAGAACAAAAGAATGGAAGAGTCACAGGGCCACCCAAATAACCAGGCTAAAAACACAGCCTGTGTGTTTGTATCTTATGGTTTTCCCAAAGAAAATCTAGTCAGGTATTTGTTTTAAATCAGTGACTATAGTTGTCCATACATCGGCAGTTTATTGTAATGTGCTTTATCAAGGGCTATTTTGGAAATTATTGGACAATAGCTGTTTAACCCTTGGCCCAAAATTGAGGTTTCAGAGTAGTTTCTGCTGCATGGAACAGTTGTTTTTTTAGACAAGTTCAACAGCACACAGCTGGCTTTCAGGTGCTGAAAAGTACTGAAAAGTCTAAACCGGGGTGGGAAACATGTCACCCTCCCTTATCATTGGCCTCTGTTCACACATTTCAAGCCACAAACCTTTCTTGCAAAATGCTCTTTATTGACCAAATTGTTTTCTGGAAGCACAAATGCCCAAAATGAATCGCTGAGCATGCACAGAGTGGTTCATTGACCCCAATCTCGAATTTACTTCTAGAAATTCTCCTTATAAATATCTTTGGGGCCCCTTCCTTTTGGGAGGGGGCTTTTGGAAATGAGCACTCCTCCTCTCTCCTTGTCAACCATCTAATTGGACAGCCCTCCTCTCCCAAAACTGCAGCATACCAGCTGGTCTGTCTCTGAGAAACTCCCATGTTCCAAGCGCTGTCCCACTGACTGTGCATCTTGGTCTTTCTCAGAGGCTGCCTGCACACCTGGGGAGTCTGGGCCTGAGATAAGCACCTCCGCTTTTCTCATCTCAGTGCCTGGAATTGGCCCACATTCCCAGGCCTCCCCACTGCTCCTCCTCTGGATTCCTGTCAGCTGGCCTTGAGAGTGCCTGCCAAGAGCAACTGGCTTCCTCACTCACAACACTCTGTGCTATTCAGCTTGATATTTAGGTAGCTAAAGGAACAGCTAATCTCATATGAATGTCTGTGTACACTGTGGTCGCTTGGTGCAATTCTCTTTTTGATGCCCCCACTGCTGGCTGTGAGTGGATGGAGACCAGGGAGGTACATGCTTGCTTATATTCCTCCCGCACCCACCATTTGTGGAATTCCCTCTCCAGAGACATTTGACTCTCACCTACCTCTTGTCATTTAGGGACCGGGCTGCCCCATTTCTATTCTCCCAGGACCTCTGTCTGTACCTTAAGCAAGATTTTAATTGTTTTTAATAGTGTTAACATTTTAAATATTCCATTCACTTTGAATTTTATCTTCTTTCTTTTGATGTGTTTTCACATGCTTTCATTTTTTGTGTTTTGGTTTGATAACAGTTTCTGTATTACTGTAGGGGCCATCCCATGCAGGCACGGCGGATACTTTTTGCAGATGAATAGCTGTCATTCTCATTGTGTAGACACGGCTGGGAAAAAGGCCCTTTGTGGGTTTCTCCCTTATGCAGTGATTGGATTTACATGGATACTTTCCATGCCAGCACCCAGGCTGTTCCCAGGAATGCACGGGAGTGGCATAGGAGCCCTCCATACTTCCAGACAGCCACGTGATGGATGCCACCAGACCAGGCTTCGCCAGCCTTTCAGATGTGCTGGTCTGTTCTGCCCAGCAGCCTCACCTGGCACAGCTGCTGCTGCTGTGGTTTTCACTCCCCATTGGCCCTGCCTATGGAGCAGAGCTGTTGCTTCTCCAGCCAGGGACAGGCAGGGCAGGGCAGGGCAGGGCAGGGCAGGGCAGGGCAGGGAGTCCTCTTAACCTGGCTTGGTATTCTGGGAATCTAATGAGCTGGTCAATGCTGGAAATGATGTTCAGGAGGAAGTCTTTGCTGGCCGGACACAATCTGTGAGCCTAGCATGGCTCCCCATAAATGAGGACTTGCATTACTGAAAAGGAAGAACAAGGAGGATGCCAATTTATGTACAGTTTCCATGTGCTAATTGCACACACACAAACACAAACATACACATACAATGCAGCTTAAGGAAAAAGGTGTTATACTTTAAACAGAAATATAGTACCTCTCACCATAATGTGGCAAACTGTGATCAGGAGGCTCTGACTATTGTCCAGGTGCTGTTTATGGGCAACTTCAAGGCCCCACAATTCCTTTTTTAAACCTAACTTGGGCTGTGGGTTCTTTATCTTTCAACTGGAGCCAGTCAGAACAGCCCTCAGCCAGAGGATGCCTTCAAAATAGAGGACTGATCTCTGGCAGCCTTTCAACTACAGGGCTGTCCTCTCTCAAAGGGGACACACCATCCGAGTCAGTGGCAGACCTTTCTTTAGCTCTGGTGAATAATAGCAAACACTTCCTCTCCAACTCATAGAAATGTTAATAATAATAATAACAACAACAACAACAACAACAACAACAACAACTCTGCAGTTGCAGCCCTCACTTTACTCAGAGAACCTTCCTTTGAAGTCAAGGGCACTTTCTCCATGCTCATTCATATCTGGGATGGTGGTTTTTACCTGCAGTGGTGCCCATCCAGGCTGATCAGGCCCTGCAGACACAGAGCAGTGCTTTGCACCTGGATGCTGAGCGGGCAGGGGGTCAGCGGGTTGGGCCTTCCATGGACTGGCAAACATAACTAATGCTAGCAGAACTGCCAGCTCTGACTGTATGTTTTGGGCTGGTGGAAGTAACCCCAGTCACTTCCTTTCTCTTCCTTCCACTGGTTGATCATTTCCCCCCATTTGCTTTGCAAGAAGATCCTTGTTGACAGCAGCAAGTGCCAAGGATTAGGAATACAGGCCAGAGTTAGAAGCTTATGCTATTTATTCAGTATTTTTCACCAAAGAATCCGAAGAGACGTCTTTCCCCAATATTTCCCACTCTCTAGGCCAGACTTCCTTGTACATGGCAGGGATGATGCCTTAAATTGTAAGGCCTGAAAGAACAGAAAAAATATATGAAAAATCCAGACATTTATAGTGCAATCCCATGCATGATTTGGCAGGAAAAGTCCTACAATTCCCAGCTGGGAATTCTTTTCTGTTGAAGCATAAATAAGGTTGTGTCCTTAAAGATCTGACTGATCACCACTGGAAATGCTTTTGGAGACCTTGAGTGGATGAGGCTTTGTTGGTGGTAGTTGCAGGTCTTGGAAGTGTTTTGGTTTGTTTGGTTCCTTCCTCTTCATCATTTTTCTCTTCAATAGTTTGCGGTCAAGATTGACCAGGTTGAAGATTTCCTGCGGAATTCCCAAGAGTTTGAGACACCTGAATCCTTGAAATTGCTCCTGTGCCAGCACAAACTTCATACAAAAGGTATGAATGGGGCTTTCTTCTTTCACTGTGACACATCCAGAATTGAGGGACAGGTGAGCCATTTACAACTTCTTTGAAGCAGAAGGGGAAAAAATGCAAATTCTCTGACCCATGGCTTTTATTTTACAAGTACTTGAAGCAACAAACATGTAACCACATCTGCCTTTCCTTATGAATCTTCTCTCTGACAGAGTGTGACCTTAGACATTCTTACACTATAAACTTGATCATACATGCCCCATGGCCAATCTAGTTGGGGCTGATAGGAACTGCAGTCTAAACCATCTGGATGGCCACAGGTTCATCATTCTTAGCATTTCAGGTATTTAGCATTTGGGAGCATGCTAAATAACTCATGGATCCCAATGTGCATTTAGATCCTAACTTTCCAGCTGAACAAGGTGAACATTATCAGCATGATCCTGTTCTCAGGAATTGTAGGACCTTTTGCATAGGAATGAGCCCTAAAATACTCATGAAGCATGAAGGAAACCTTGACCTAGAGGATGATGATGATGATGATGATGATGATGATGATGATTATAACATTTCTATGCCGCCCCTTGCCGAAGCCTCGGGGCGGCTTACAACACAATAAAATACATTGAAATACAATAGAACATAATAAATTACCATTAAATACAAAAATACAAAAAATACACTGAGTTATGAACATAATAATATAGAATTAAAATTATCAGTATAAAATAAGTAAATAATATAGGAGGAGAAAAGAGAAGGAAGAAGAAGTTGCCCTGGCCAGATCATATATTTTAACAATTAAAATGATGTCACCACTCTACCTTTATCACAATTCTTATCCAGCCTCTAAAAACTCTCTCCTGGGAGCCTGAGGACGCTTGGCGATTGCATGGACTAGAGTGGACTGGAGAGTGAGGGCTACTGTGGGGTGGGGAGAGAAGGCCTCTTCTTCAGCTAGCATGGAGCTTGCAGAATACCCCTTGCACCTGATTTTGGGTGCTGCTCCTCCAGCAGCTTCTATACCCCATTGCACACTATTGTTAGGCATCCCTAGCTCTCATGAGTGGCTTTTGTGGTGGGGCGGTGAAACAGGGATGGAGGGCAGAGAATTGCCTGTTGCAGTGGTGGCGAACCTGTGGCACGCATGCCGCAGCAGGCACACAGCGCCCTCTCTGTCAGCCCACAAGCCAAGTCACCCCAGTATCACCCCAGCAGCTGAGGATTGGATAACAGCACACACAGGGGCCATGCGCATGCTCAGAAAGGAGTAGTGACGCCAGCCGATGATGTCATGAGCCGTGACTCATTAGCCATGACTCATCGGAGTTTTCGCATGGCTGGTCAGTGCCCTGCCAAGGATATATACAGTGGTACCTCAGTTCATGACCAAATCAGGTCACAAACAGAAATTTCATAAAAATTTTGTCGCAGGTCGCAAACTCTGCATCGGGTGACAGTCCCGAGTGTGCCCGCCTTCCCTGCATGGGCATGATTGCAGTCATGCTGGGGGTGGGAGATGGCTGCATTCATGCTGGGTGGGAGATGGCCGTGATTGTGCCTGTGTTCCCTGCCCGAGCGCACCCACGTCTGCACCCGCCTCCCCCCAGCGCACCCACGATCGCACCTGCCTCCCCCCAGTGCACCCACACCAGCACCCACTGCCCCCCCAACGTGCCCGCGCCTGCGCCCGTCTCCCCCCACCCCCCGCACGATTGCTGGTGGGGGAGATGGCTACAATCTTTGTTGTTCTTTGTCCCTTTGCTTCAAATTTTTGTGAGTAAAAAAAATAGCTGCAGAACGGATTACCCTTATTTACATTGACCCTTATGGGGAAATGTGACTTGGGTCACGACCAATTTGGGTCATGACCAGAGTCCTGGAATGGATTAAGTTCATGAGTCAAGGTACCACTGCATATATATTTGCTTGGACTGGCTGTGAGTTTTAATACATTCACTTTTATTAAGGCAAGATTTTAGCTTTGAGTTTTCTTATGAAAAATTGAAATTAATATCTAAGATTTAGCAAAGAGATGTTCTAATTAAGAGACTGAGAAGTATGAGCCAAGGTTTGACAAATTATCAGCATGCATGCAACAGCAAAGATCACATTAATTGAGCGAAAGCACGCCAAACCCAAACTTTTACCTTTCAATAAAAAGCTTTTTGTATCATTGAAAGCTCTGTTATTATGTTTTTCTTTTAAGACAAAAGATGTTAATGTATGAGTTTTTTCTAAACTAAAACCTCAGTATTCAGGTTTTATTGCAGTGTTGGCACTTTGCGATAAATAGGTGGGTTTTGGGTTGCAGTCTGGGCACTTGGTCTCTAGAAGGTTCGCCATCACTGGCCTCTTGCACTGCCTTGCCTGAGCTTGGTCAGCATACAGAGAGCCAATAAAAACCTATTCCTCTGAATTAATTACAGTGGCACAGCAGAAAAAGGTTGGGTTGCCTGAAGTCAGGCTCTGAGAAACTCTTCCTTGTGAGGTTCCTGACACAGAGTCCCCAGCCTGGTGCCCTCCAGAAGGGTTGGCTGGGAATTAAAGGAACTGCAGCCCAGAGGGCATCAGCTTGGGGGAACCTGTGTTAGGAATATTGCAGCAGGGCTTCTGGTGGGGGGACCCATGTGCCCTGCTCTGCACCAGCAAGGCAGAGGAAGAGGATGCTGAGCTGCATTGCCTGCACATGCTCACCTGCCTGTCTGCCTGCTTATCAGCCGACCAGCTCAGCCATCAGCTTCCCGCCAGACTATTAGCCCCAGTTTTGAGAATGGGAACTCATCAGGGCACAATCAGATGAAGTACCAGAGAAGAATGGATGTGGGATGAGTTGTACAGGCCTGCTTGCTGCAAATGGAAAAATTGGTATCTTTTCAATGTGAATGATGCATTTGATAAAGCACTAACATGGCTTCCTGCTGCTAAACTGAGTATCGATGCCATGTTTTTGCATTTGATTAGAAATACAATCCAAATGAATGTTCCTTATTCAAATGGGAAAAGGACATTGAAACCTGCACGTTTTTTGAGGTCTATGAATTGGCAAGAGCCCTGCCCAAGCCACCTGGCAGCTGAGCTTCGGGCAGCGGACTCATCTTGGCATACATTTGGCTGGGAAAGGCAATTATCATGGTTTTGGAGCCTTGAACTCAAGCTGGAATCTGTGGAACTAGTCTTAAGCGGAAGAAAGGAAAGGAAATGGAAAGGAAGAACGGGAGCCAAATGGACCAGAAGCAAGATCCGCCAAGGATGACTCAGTCAGTCTTGACCTGCTGGCAAGACGTTCCTCATGACGTTTTAGGGGATGTGTGGCTTGCTGAACCCAGTCAGTTTATCTCAGGCTGCCAGTCAAATCAGCAGGCTTTGGTCTACTCCAAGCAGGGTCTACAAATCTCTGGAGGAAGATGTGGGAAGGCATTTTCCTATGCTGTCTACCATGGCTGAGGCCATCCAGTATGGGATGGCAAGACCTGGTTCCTGGTTCCACTACCCGAGAGCATTATTTTAATAGCTGCTACCCTAATGTTGTTCTTTATCCAGGTAATGTCATTATATGGCAAAGACGCAGGATCTGTTTCTGGCTCTGCATAACTGAGTGATGGATCCTTTGCCTGCTGAGTACTGTTGTCCATCTGTGCTGGGAAGCTGAATTAGCAGGCTAAAAGGGAGCCGAGGGCAACTTGGAGAGAAATATGTAGCAGTTGTGGTTCCATTTATGTTGCATCAAGACAATTGTGATGACTCCACCCTGAACAACAGTGGTTTCATAGGCTCTGTGCACCATTTTATAAAAGCTGCAAAATACTGTTTCTAGTCTGCTGACTTATAGAAACTGTGCAGAGAAGCTAATGTCTATTTAAAGGGTTTCTAAAAACAAGGGCCAAGGCCAGTTCATTTGCTTAGCAGATCATGGCAAAACTTTAGAATTAACAAACCTAAAAAAACAGGGCTACATAAAGCAAATATATGCAGCAGATAAATCAGCAGCACAGTGTTAAGGAAATGCCATAGGTGATTACAGTACCATTTGAGACTCAATGAGCAAAAGATAATGTATACAAGCCATTAGACTGAAGCAAGAGCAGGTGGTTGGAAGTGGGAATGGCCCAGGTTGATTGACATGGGAGGTGTTTAAAGTGCCGCTTTGGCTTCCAGTCCACATCCTGGATATGCTTACAAAGATCCGAGTTCTGAGAGAGTATCAAAGGATCACATGAACAGTGCTGGAAAGCAAACCAAAGAAATCTAAAGCAAATCCTCATAAAAACACATCTCTATGCTGTTATCAGTATCAATACCTACAGAATCTGTGACCCTAGTCCAGCTAAATTTAGTTGCAATCTATGCTGTGTCTTTAGATTAAGCCTAACATACTTATCAATGAGTAAGCTCTGTTGAATGCAGTAGAACTCAATTCCACATAAACACTGGGAGGATTCTACCCAGAATCTATTTATTTATTTATATCCTGCCTTTTTGCTACAAAGGGCTCAAGGCAGCTTACATCATTCTCCTCCTCCATCTTATCCCCACAACAACAACACTGTGAGGTAGGTTGGGCTGAGAGTCTGTGACTGGCCCAAAGTCACCCAGTTGGCTCCATGGCTGAGCGGGGACTAGAACCCAGGTTGCCTGAGTCCCAGTCCCAGTCCCAATCCCAGGCTTTTAACCACTACACCACACTGGCTCTCACACTGTAAGAAATTTTTATCAGGTATTAAGAAGTCCATACATCTGATCATGACTATGTGTAAGTACAGTATTCCTTCATAGTACTTCCTTCCATATAAGCATGTTTTCCAAATAGGATACTGGAGCGTTGCATTATTTTTAAAAAATCAATATCTTGTGGAAACGGGCATAAAATGAAATCCATTTTAAAAGGCTTTCTAATCCCTGATGGGTTTGTTGCTCCCTGTTTCTCCTTGACCCAGAAATTTGGTCATGTAGTTTTAATCAGAGATTACATTTAAAATAAATTAAGCTGCTGGTGGCTGGTGTAACACTAACAACTTTCCTGCATTAAAAAAACAACCCTCATCTGCTGGAAAAGAGAGTAGGTTGAATTCTATGCAATTTTGTTCAAGATAACAGAATAGAGAATTGAAGGCTGGTCACTTTAATATGAGTTTAGTGGTCTCCATTCAATCTTCATTGGTGTGAAGCACTCATCACAGAGCAATTTGGCCCAAGAACACCTGATCATGATTGATTGCCATTGCAAAAAAGAGGCCCATCACGCAAAACAATCCTATGAAATTGTTTGCCACAGGGAAAATAGGCTTTGAGAATACGGCTGTTTCCAGAAGGGACAAGAGTTGATATCTAATATGTCTTATTCTTTGTTTTTGCTCTTTTCAGGGAGAGAAGTGGGTAGTCATGTATATAATTAAAATTGTCTTTCATATTGTTCAGTGTATGGCAATCAAATCAGATTGTATCAACAGGTAGGCTGGTAAGGAGAAAATATCTTACCTTCTACTGAAATATGGGTAGCACTGCCCCCGTCTCCTGCCTTTTATTCTTCTTTTTAAAACAGTAAATAATTCAGAAATGCTCTGTGAACCCAGCTTCCCAGCAACCTTTGCAAAACGAAGCAGGAAGAGCATGCTGTTCCTACCCTATCTCTTCTCTGAGCCTTTCCCTGTGGTTGGATCTTACCTTCAAGTGGTGCTCCCAAATATTTTCTTTTTTAATTAACTCTGGCTATTTTTCAGAACTACATATCTGTTACATATCTGTTTAGATGAAGTTTCATCTAAACTTGCCACTTTCACCCAATTAAAGTGGAAAGGAAAGGACAGGATAGGGAAGGAGGTAGGAAGTAGCAGAATTTGTTTCTGTCTAACACAGTGATTCTTGGCAGAGTGGCCACCAGAGTATCCTAAGAGATGTGTTGCAAATCTCTTTTTATACATGCAAGCCTAGAAATAGCTATTATAATTTAAGTAGAGATACTGCTCAACCCACCAGGAGACCTGTGCAATGCCCGTTCCTGTAGTTCTTTATTTTTGCATTAGAATTGGACAGAGTGGAATTTGGCCTTCAAATAGTGAATGCCTTTAAACAGAGTACCATCTTCCAGCAGCTCTTCAGTCAGAGGACTCTGTGAAAGAGGACACATGGCCATACACTATGCTCTGTTAGTTATGGAAATGACTGCCAGGGGTGAGGGAGGGCACAAGCCCTGCTCCCTCTCCCTTTCCCCTCGCTGGTCACACTCCATGGACAGGCTGGGAAGGTCTGAGTCAGGACACCTGCTTTACACAACCAAGCTCCCCACTTCAGGCCTCCAGCCCCACTGCATGGACAATGGGAAGATAGTGGAGGGAAAGGGGAACAGCAGAAGGGGGCTCCTTCTTAGAGCAAGCTTCCTCCCTGAACTCAATTCAACCTGAGACTGGATCCTGCCAAAACGCCGATCCCAGCCTTAACATTACAAACCTGCCATTAGCCCCGGCTGTCCTGCAGAATATTGGCTGCCAGGGACCCAGCTCCTCGTGGCACATGTGCTTGAGTGCTGCGTCTCACATGACATGTCTTTAGACACCTCTGAGGAGTAACACTATTGTCAGATCGTGTGTGTGTTCTCATTTCAGCATGAAATCAACACACACAAGACATTTTTCCCCCAGACAAGGCACAGATGTCTTTTGGAGATAAAGAAAAGGTCTCGTGATGTGTGGTTACGTTATGAAAGAAATCCATCTTTTGGGAATTGCATGATGTCTGTTGCCTGTTGAGGGACAGAGACTTTCAGTGGCTGAAATAATGGCCACAGTAATTTCTCTTGGTCAATATTGTGGGAAGTGCCAATTAGTAAGAGTGTCTCTGAGGTAACGAATGTATGAAGTACTCGAATGGCTCCTGCTGCCACGGAGAGGTAAAACGCTCCCACTTAGCTTTGCCCTTTGCCCTTTAATCTGTTTTTGTAAGTACAAAATGTGAACGGTGGTGGCCAGGAAACATCTTATCTTATTGAGATACTGCATGGAGTCATATAGCACACTTGTTTGCTTTTTAAATGAAAAGCAGTCTGAACAAGTTTCATGCAGATTATGTGCAAATGTACGTAAATACCACTGACATAATCAGGGATATGCAGACTTCTCAGCTGAATAAGCAGGATAGATGGATTGTTTCCTAAATGTCACCACTGCCCTCTGCTGGACATGATAATATTCAACCGGCTTTGAGGCTATAATTTCAATGGAGCGTTCTCCCGCCATGCGTTGAGAACAGTTCAGGAGTTGCTGGGCACACCTGAGTTGCATGTCTCTGCTGGAGGTGAAGAACAAGGTGGCACCTCCTCCTTTTCCATGTGCAAAAGCTGACCAGCCTGGCACCTGGTTCTTTCTTCAAGATTGGCAGCAGTACAGCTTCACCTCCCTGCATAGCTGTGCAGAGCACTAGCCTGTCACATCACCTTTGCCGAGCTGGAAAGGTGCGGCCCTGCAGCTGGATGGGTGGCCACATTTGGAAATGGAGCAGGGGGTTGGACACAATGGCCATATAAGCCCTTTCTAGCTCTACGTCTCTTCTCTTCTCTTCTCTTTCCCCCCATACCCAAAGAGAGCAGACTAGCTTAGAGGATGTAGGGCAGGCCTTTTGGCACACACAGATCATCCCTCTGGATTCTTGCTGTTGCCCAAGTAATTGCCCTACCCTGCCTAATGATGGGGCCAGATGTGGGGAGCCAGGAGTTTCAGGGTTTCAGCAAGTGAAGCTTGAGGCAGTGATTAAGAGCAAGGTGCAGGTCAGGGACAGTGATGATGCCAGACACAAAACACTCTCATCCAAGTGTTTATTCAAGCCCAGCACTTACCAAAACAGTTTCCTAGTTTATCTCCCCATTCAGATAGATGACAAACAAATGGATGCCAATATTTTCCCCATGCATTCAGATCAGCCACACCGTATTGTATGTGACATCTTCAAGAACAAGTTTTAAGTTCTCCCCCCCACCCGCCATGCTTTTTTTCCAGAGCTTTTACAAAAGTCATTGGTCCTCTTGAACAAAAGCCAAGACCTTACTGAATTCATAGAAGAATTCAAATCTGATGGCCCGAATATCAATCCAGAATTCTTCCAGGGAGCCCACAGCAGCTGCCTGAAAATTGACAGGCTTCTTGAAGCTCTGCAAGACCGGAGGAGGCAGCTGGACAAGTACCTGAAGCTGCAGCGTCAGGGGCTAGAGCAAGTCCTGCACATCTGTCAGTGGCACCACCGGGAAAATCAGGTACAATGTAAAAAAAGAACACACATCTATATATATGTACATATATACACACATATGCATATATTAATGCATTTATACAAGTGTACGTGCATGCATACTGACCTCAGCAGATTAAAAAAATGAGGTTTTATGTTTTGATTAGAGACTATGTACAAATGGGATTCAACATCTGTATTATAAGGAGGTCGGAACCTACTGAGATCAGTGGAATATTAATTCTGGGAAACAATGCTTTGAGTTGTGCTGTAGTACTATCCCCTGGCATACACGGAAGTCACTTGAATCCCACAGAAGTCAATCCTGAAGCCAGTTATACATTCCCGAGAGCAGAGATAGGGAATGTTTTAACCCCCTCCAGATGTTGTTGGACTGTATATCCTACCTTTCTTTGCCATCCATCATGTGACAGGGCTCATAGGAGGACTAGCAGTCCAACAACATCTGGGCAGCAACACATTCCCCACCTATCTCTTAGGGTTCGGGCTATTGACTTGAGTGGTTCAAGTATACATAACCTGGTATAGGCTAACTGCCTACTTGTATATCAATGAAACTAGATCAGTGGAATATAACACATGGCCCTGGCTTACAAAACTTTGCTAGAGCTCTAACTTTGCCTTTAAAGAATAATGCAGACTCTAAGCCACTTGGCTGGAAGCTAAATGTTTGGAATTATGGCAAAAATTACAATAATAGCCAGCACAGAAAGGAAGAGGGAGGAGCACTAAGTTTGGGCTCCATCCAGACCAATGATAAAATTCAGTGAAGTGTTTCTGTTGATGGAAGCACTTCTTTCATTATTGGAAACTGGGATTAGGTACCTCCATGCTCTTCCCTGTACATGGCATCACGTGTTGCTCTGATTCTTCACAGGGAGCGGGTGCTGCGGGAAGGAGAGGGAGAATGTCCTGTCAGGCAGGTGGACTCCATTCATGCAATATTGACTTCCATCCTAAGTTCAGTCGGATTGCAGCAGGACTAATTCAGGGCATAATCCTATGTACGTTTAGACAGGAAAAAGTCCCAACTGCTCCAGAAAGCTGGGAGTTTTAGAACATTTTTCTGCTTAAATATGCATAGGCTTGCGCTGCCAGCCTACAATCCTATATACACCTACTTGACAGTAATTATCACTGAACTCAGTGGGCTTGCTTTTAAATAGACTTAGGTACAGATGCACTGTTGGTTGTAGATACAACCTATTGTTTTCCCCATCCCTAATTTCCATAATTTATTTCCTGTATTTATATATATGCTAACCTCTGTACATCTGTACATTTTTTTCTGGATATTTTTGCCAGGTGCAGTTTGGTCTCTTCTGAGATCATAACATTGCATATTGCTTTAATTACAAATGAGGATGTAGCAAATATGGATAAAAGGCCAACACAATAGGCATTTGTGATGTATGGCGGGAAACAAAATGACAGGGATGAATCACAGATGTGTGCAGCCTGTGTCATATGAAAGGCATCTTTGGTGCACTCTTTCCTAGTAGAACTAATACCATTATAAATCTCTACAATTGTACTCCTGCCTCACCCAGGAACTGTAAAGCAGGACCAGCCATCCTCTTCAAACCAAAAGGCCAGAATCTATTCCAGGAAGGTGCTTGGCAGCTATATGCCAGTGATGATCAGGATGGAAGACAAAAAATGGGGCCCCAAAACTGCCAACATATTTTAGCTTTGGCCTCTTGGGGCTAGGAATTAAGCCTTAGGAGAGGTATTCTGACCTTCTAGAAACTGCAGAAGAGCAGGAATGCCACCAAAAAGAGGTGGCTGGGGCAGAACCAGTGCATATTCACGTGGGGACCCCTAGAGGGCTGGGTTGGGGCTCAGGTGGGCCTGATTTAGTCCCATGGCCTGAGGAGCCATACCCCTGCCCCAGAGGAACATAAAGTAACATTTGAACATTTTGCAAACTGAATTAAAAATTAAAATGTGCAGCTGCTCCCAAGAAATGTGCCCAGTATTTCTATATCACCATCCCGAGTCTGCTGTGAACAGGGCCCTTCAAACTAATCACATTACAGGGAGCAAGTAGGTAAGAACACACACACGATTACATAGATTTGCATTGAAAGGAACGTTGAGCCCGTTCTCAGTGAACAGGATCTGCGTGTACATTGGTGCTCATGTAAGCAAATCAAATCACTGGACTGGGAGATTCTTTACAAAGCCTTTATAAGTATGACTTGACAGTGTTAAACCTGTTGTGGTTTTATACTTTCTATGACACAGAAGATCTTAAGCTTTCCATGACCTTTCTTCTTACTCACTGAAAATCATGATTACCTTCCCAAGAGGCTGTAATTCATGGCAAAGGAAGGAGGTTTAGTTTAAACTGAAACATCCTATAACATTATACAGAAATCATTTTAACAAATATCTCAAGATACTTGATTTATGTTCTCTGAAAGAGCTGGCAGCCTGGGCGTATAAATTAAATATGCAAATGGCATCAGCACTTTATTGCAGATTCCTCTCAGAGCTCTTCAGATAGCCCCCTGGTGAGTGCCATATTACCTGTTTTGTAACGCGCTATGGGGACATTATAAATCACAGATTGTTCTTTGCATTTTTATATAAAATCCCGCAAGTGGAGCCTTATACATTTGCCTGGGCTTGCCAGGGGACTGTGAAGCATCCATCAGATGTTAATAATTGCCCATGGGAGGACTCGATTTACCAGTTTCTTGACTAGATTGATCTGTATCCAGAATGACAAATCTTTTGTTCCTTCAAAAGTGTCATCTCCAAAGCCATTGGCTATATACTGGTAGCTCAGAACAAATCCCCATTTTAAGAAAATAAAGGGAGAAGGAATTACAAAGCATGAGGCTCACCCATTGCAATGCAAGTCATGAGGACATCACAAATTACAGTTCATGAAACTCGACGTGGCACCATCTTGATAGCTGTTTCTTTATGTCGCTTGGGACCAAGAATCTACCTTGGAATCTAACATTTCTTTCCTTGAGACAGCTTCTCAATGGTTAAAACCAGTGTTGCAAAACTTGTTTGGCAAATGATTTAAGAAAATAAGTTGGAAAAATATCTTGTAGAAAACTGATACTGCTTAGTAAATGTCCTTTGGTACAAAGCTGCCACAACAGGAATGTTGACTTCTTTCCAATAATGTTCGTTGCTCTGTGAGTTCTCTTTCAAAGACTGTAGATAAAATCGAAACTTTTAATGGACATATCTCTGTTGATTGTATGAACACCCACCCACCCATCTATCTCTTGTTCTTAGTGATAAACTTACAAGCAGATTCCTTCCTTATCTGCTGCTTGAGATTACTGTCTCCTCAAATCAGCCTGTTTGTGGAAATGCTATATTTGTAGTGGACAGAGGTGTGCATGCAAGTGCCGATCCCAATGTTCCTGTGCATCTGGATCTTCTATGTTGGCTGAAGCATGCTGGGAGTTGTAGGTCTTTTTCTAAGTTAGCATAGGATTATATACCTTTAGGCATTTAGCCCTAAGATCTGAACGGGTGCATGTCGGAACATGCTTACAAAACCCCTTCAGACCTTTGCATTAAATACACAAAGAGGAGCCCACAAGCATGAGGAGACACTGGGAGTGAAGCTTGTGAGCAGACCTTATAAGAGTTGTAACCTTTCATACATGTGGTTCAACATCTCACACGACTTCTACCATGTCCAGAATCTGAAGAATTTTGGTACTGTGACTGGCAAGTGGAACAGAGCCGAATATCCGCCACATTTTCCACAATCCCATTTTAGGCATAGAGGCCGCAACCTCATTTTTCTGTGGGACAGCTAGAAGTTGCTTATTGGGAATACGTACTGGTATCCTAAAACAACATCTTTTCCCTAACTTATAATTGCAATGCAATGAACTGAGCAGCTTCATAATTTCTGCACACTATTGAGTAAATCCTTTTCATTAATTAAAACCAAGAGGCAGACAGGACTATTTTGTACATAATTATCTTGGCAAGCATGCCCATTATTAATGCATTTTCCCCTTATTGGCTCCCAATCATGTCTTTGAGAGGTGAACAAATAAATTATAGTTACTCAAGGCACTTGTGCTCATTTATTCATAGCTAGTTCCTCCAAAGTGGAGACCAAGGTCAGAGATGATAATTTGTTAAGTAATTCTTCAGGAATAATAATAAGAATAAAGAAGGTCCTGAGCTACCTTAAAGATGAACAGATCTATGTTGGTGCGAGCTCTAGTAGGCAGTAGCTTATTATGATCATTCCGCTCTCTCCTTGTTTTCCGTAGCTGTACCAGGGTTATGCTTCATCATAGCTACACAGGTCAGCCCCAGCCTGGTTTGCTCCAGATGTTTCAG